TTTCCCTGTCTGCCAGAATAATGTAGGGGACTACTTCTGTAAATCCAAGATGCTGGATTACTTTCCTTTTGCTCAGTGAACAAACCCAACTGTGCAGCTTCTGCTGAGATTGCTTTTCCTGTCGTATAACATATTTGCACTAACTAAAGGATTTATAAGGAAAAACACAACCACAATTTTAATGACATAAAAAATGATTTATCTGGGACCTATTACTGCGGTCATCAAAAGCTTCTCAATTTAATGCACAAAAAGGGGAAGAAAATGTTTGAGTAACTCAACACAAAGTGCTAGGATTCCCTGTGACCTCTGAAGTGCTCTTTTATTGTTTGGGCGTTTTTCTCCTCTGCTATCGTTAGATGGGATTATAGATCTGCAGAAGAGAAGTGGTGCTGATAATCAAGAAAATCCTTATGTTTTAACATGGGCAAAGTTCTCATTTGCCATTGGTTTTGCCTGATTATATTCAATACCAGATGTAACTCAATTAAATTTAAAACCAAGAAGCTGCAAAAATTCAGAACTGGTCTAGCCCACTACTGAAAAACTAGTGGAGTTCGATTCATTCATTTCCAGTTGATGACAATTTGCAGTATTCTGAGAACTTTCCTTCCCCAAGTTTAGTTCACAAAATATTTCTGTACAATCCACAGGTTTTTGGGTTTTTTTTAAAGAACAAGCAAACAGTTTAAAAGATTACCCACAAAAGAACAAAACATAGGTAATGGAGGCAAAAAGTTGACCTAGAGGATACGTAATTTTATCTTGTTTTCATATTAACAAAATTAAATTAAAAACCACTCTGTTTATTAAAGACATATACGCATAATAGCAAGTCATAAAAAAAAGATCTTAACAGTCTTTAAACATAACAGAATTGATATGTATAATTAAGTTTCATTACGTACAGATTTAAAATATGTATTTCAGTTTTGCTTTATATTCCTTTTAGACCAAAACCTCCAACACTCATACACAATATTCAGGCTGCCCCAAGCAGGACCAACAAGGACTTTGTAAAAGCTCTAACAAAACTCCATCTTAAAACAGTTTGAAATATTCTTAAATGAAGAAAAGATTTAGCAAAGAAAAAAAGGATGTTCAGTGGAACCTAAGCAAGTTGCTGGATGTACTGAAAATCAGAGATTCAGTACACAGAGGTAGGTCTGTGAGGGTACTTGCAGTGTTCTGACTATTTGGTATTGACACCACAGTATGTTACTGTATGCTTGAACTTTTCCTATATATGTAAAAAAAGCTAGCACGCTTTCTGGGCCTGTTGCTTTGCCATTAAAAACCAATAGAAAGAGCCATCGGTTTCAGTGGGATTGGGATTAAGTCCTTTTATACTCTGGAAATTCAGCTTTATGGAAACAGAACAAAAAGAAACTGTCCTAAGTGTGGACTTCCTGCTGCAAGCAGGGTCTTTAAGCCCAGACAAAGGAATTTTTTCCCACGTGGAGCTAGTTACTGGTTAGCATGCTTAAAAGGAAGGAGGACCTTGAATTTGGTCCAAAAAGACGCATGCTATTCTCTGCAGTTACCTTGCAGGCTGGCCTGTTGGTGGATCTGACTATGCTATCTAGGGATGTGCTGATCAAAACTGTGAGATCACTGCCACTGCCCTTTGCATCACTGGTGAGTGAGAAGAGCACAGCCCCAGGGAACACGGGCAGTGGACAGTGTCCCTCAGCCCTCCTGCCTGCTCAGTGTGAGCTTGATCCACCTCCAGAGAATGAAAGAATTCAGCATGTTGCCACCTCACGTACCTTTGTTACATGGTCATTTTATTGGTGATGACAATTTGGAACAAGGTGAGGCTGTCAGCTCCCAGTAGTTTCTCATACAGATGGCAACCGAGCAGCCTTGCACTGACTGACCATCAAGTAAAGCACTGATGGTTGGTACCAAATTACCCTCCTGTTGTTCACAGGAATACCAGACTAGGAATAACAGACCAGGTCAACCAAACACATGTTTTTCACTAAGGCAAAAGGATAGGAATTTCATATGCCTATTGTAACACAGAGGATCTTTAGCTTGTGCAAATAGCTACGGCCTTATCATTATTAAATGATCATCTACATCTGCTAAAGATCTGATCCTGGGTGTTTGCACGCAGTTGCACCATTAACTGCAATGTTAAGTATGACACACGTGAAACTTCAGCATTTATATCGATCCCAGTTTGACCTATTTCTTTCGTTCGTTTTAACACACAATTGCCAGCACAGGTTTTGCAGATGGTTACACCTCAGAGTCTGGACTAGAGTATGCTTCGGAAATCTTAATCTCCCAGAGAAGATGCAGTGCTGGCTATATGCTTGAATATATGCCTGTGTTCCTTCCTCTTCCACACTCCTCTTAGAAATAGTATTTTGTATTCTTTTTTATTTTATATAAGTTTATTAAAAAGAGTAACATTTTATTATTAAAAAAGTTGTGACTGATTGTCAAATTACCCAAGATACCATTTCTGTTACTATAAGGATCCCTATAATTGAAAAAAAAAAAAAAAATTAACTTTCTTGTCCTCACAAGCTATTATTCATACCAATGCAGCAATACAGAAAACACAGCCTGGCTTACTACAATAAAGGCTGTTTCAATATTAGCATCCTAAATTCTGTCACTGCAGATCTCTGTGCATTGCACCAGGGGAAGGAAAAGAAAAAAAGGAAACCAAAAATTTGTGTTCTTCAGGGGTAAATTATAAAAGATCTCCTAGCTGCAAACACAAATACTTCACTCATAACCCAAGCACCAGACCATTTCTTTGAAGAAGCTTATGAGGCATTTAAGATATACAATGGCACAATATCATGCAATGGAATTGAAAGAATTTTCTTGAGAAACCATTTACTTTGAAGGAATGTCTAGACAACTGTGTCAACAAATGCAAATAATTCATGCTTCTCAGCTTCTATCCAATGGATGGCCCCATGCTGAGTATACACAAACTCAGAAGAAAAAGGCATGTCACAGTCATATGACTAGGGAGTGTAACAGAGTCACACAGAAATTCAAGTCAATCTTGAAAAAACCTTCAGAAAGCTCTTCCCCAGGGTAAGCCAGCAGTGGGACAGGCTTCTGGTTATTTTGGCTAGTTTAAAACAGAGACTTACAGCTGCTGTGCCCTGGCTCCAAAGCAGGGGCAATGGAAGAAACAGCTGTTATTCATGACCATTCAATCTGTTAGAAAAATAAAAACTAAAGGACTCCAAAATACTGTACAATCTCTTGCAGTAACCAACAAAGTGGCTTCTGGAAACAATGCTTTTACCAAAAATGCATCTGTAAGGCACTTAACAGGTATCTTTTTAATATATATATGTATGTATAAAAATAAAATATGCACCGAAGCAACATTCACAAATACCCAGTTGTCTCAATTGTCTGTGTGTACAGTATAGTACATATATACATTCACTGTGACACAGGCCATCTCCATCATTATACCTTCACGGGTGCTTTGGGCTGCCTGGTTAACTTCAGCGCCTGTGAACAGTAAAAAAAACAGTCACTTTTTTATATTCTTAAAAGACAACCACCAGCACAAGACAAGATTTTTATTTATAAGGGGCGACAAAATGCTTCACATTACTTCTGGAAGGCTGAGTGAGGTGTCAGCATGCAGCTGACAGGTCACTCTGGGTTTTGTGATGATCTTTTTATCTCTGATAGCTCATCACAACTCCTCATATACAGACAGCCTTAACAGAGGAACCTAAGGAATATGGTTAGTGTCAGTAAAGGATGCGGAGGTGGATCTCGGATGTCTTTCAGAAAGCAGCTCTTGTGATCCCACTCAAGAAACCACTTGTAGCACAGATACAAGAGCTTCTGACCTACTTAGGGAGAGTATGAAGAAATTTTCTGCCAACATCTTTGTGTTCCTTGGCCTCCTTCCATATGGCTCAAAGCCTGCTCAGAGTATAGTCACTGCTGCAGTGGTGGATGTCACACACTTCCCATTTTTATACCTTCATTTCTGAGAAAAGGTAAGAATATGCCAAAGTCCATCAGTCCAGAGGTGATCTTATGCCAGGGGACACCCGATGTCTTTGTAGCTCTAGTCTGCCCTTACTGAGGAGGAGAGAAACCACATGCCTCTATTTAATGGCAGGGTCCAAGTCCGCGTTCCCTGCAGGGCTGGCCAACTATGGGAGCTGAACTATTTATTCAGTGTGTGACAGAAGTTCAACTCCAAGGAGAGGTAACCATGCCTCTAGTTTGGCAGGAAGCAAGCTCTCTAACTTAGGAGGCAAATGTGACAGGCTTAATAGGTTTTCATCTGCTCCTGTATACTGATGTGGTCACTGCAAAGGATGCCTGTTGTTGGTGTGCTCTGCAACAAAAAAGGTCGGTGCTTTCTTTTACGGGATGAATTGGCCTGAGTGAGAGGGAAATTAGTGAAATTTGCAAATTCCTGAAATTTGGAACCTCTGTTTTCCTTAGCCTTTTGGGGGAAGTGCCCTGACAGACTGGTATTTGCAGACTGAGAGACTTATTTCCAGAGGGCTGGCTAAACATTCAGTTTTCAGTCTGAGAGATGTCTGATGGGTCTTCTTATTGTAGATATTAACCTTTAATATTGTACATTTAAAGCTTGTAAGCACTGCTTGAAAAACACTTGAGCACAAATGTAAACCCTTAAAAAAATCCAGACCTTTAAAAATAAATAGGCTATATTCCCCTCAGAAACACCAGCTTTCAGAAACACCAGCATTTAACTATTGTTAAATCTAGCCATTTGAGATTAGTCTTTTGGATATTATTCAGCAAGAGACTTTGGAGAGACATCACTCCACGTTTTGTTTGGGGAAACAATTTTTTAACTTTGTAGTTTGGCAGCTTCTGCTGCCATATTTACAAAGTAGAAATACCTCAGTGTAGATGAACCTCTAAATATTTAAATTCAATTTCATACAACCAGATCACATGTACTATCATAATTAAGTAAGAATGTCACTGCAGTTGAGTATTGTGACTGGATAACCGTCTCCCCCTGCAAGAGAGATGCCAAAAGGAAGCCAAGGTGTTTATAGAAAATAAAACATCAAGGGTGATGATGACATGTTTATTTTCAAAGTGGGAGACCATTATCCAGTCACAACATTCACTTCTATTATACTTATTGCAACTGTACCAGACCCAACCTCATTGATTTTTTTCAAAGAGTAATTAAAATAACATTTGTGAATAATACAGAAGACCAACTGAAGAAACTGCTGCAACAGAACAACAATCCCCCAAAGTGGTTCTACAGTAGCATTACAGTCTGATTAGCACAGGAGGTTTATTTGATGTTTAATGAATAAGATACTAGTGCTGGTGAACTGTAAATCTCTCCAGTACTAGTTGACTTTTCTGATGCCTTGTTTAAAGGCTGTGTTAACTTGCAGCAACCGACAGCAGCCCCCAAAGGCCATGATCACCCCTGAGGATGAGGGAGGTCTGGATGAGCTCCAGCCCTACTCCTGGTCTTGGCAGCAGAGAGCAGAAGAGAAGCCAGCATTGCAGAAATCGTTCTGTCACCGGTAGTGTCAACTTTAGGCTATCTTTCTGCAGGAAATTCTGCATGGAATTTTCTTTACACAAACTCTAATGTCTCCTGATAATTTCTGATTTTAAAAAAATCATGACTTTCAGACTGATGGAGAAATGACATGTGATTCTAAAATTTCCTGTTTCGGATGCTAAGATAAGTATATCTTAACAAGGTCTGATTTCTGGACTCAAAGTTCCTGAAAATTGAGTTTTCCTCCTTTTTACAATTCAGGTAACCAAAAGTGGAGCCACCTAAAAATCACTAATTTGGGGAGTTTTAGCATTCAAGTTAGCAAGGTGACTTTAGTGGAGTGAAGCTAGTAAAATGGCAGCCTGTTTGGTTTTGCTGAAAATCTGAAACATAGAAGTTAGAAAAAAAAAATTGTCCACTGACAAGTGAAAAATGCAGGGTACTGGTGGCACTGGGCTTCCCACAGTAGGTCTCAACCTTCACCTAAAATGGCTGTCAAAGACTGCTTCAGTTGCCACAGCTTCTTGATCCTTATTATCTCAGAACATTAAAGACAGCATCAAAACCAGTTGAATGGATTAGTTTTCTGTGAGGTGGTTACTACTGTTCTGAGAACCTGACCAAAACCATTGCATTTATTACATATAGGTCACAGAATGGCTGTCAGATGTTAATAGCTTCAATTTGACTGAAATAAGCATAATCTGAAGCAGTGATATCAATGCCTCTAGGTTATAGTCTATAATCCTCCTAGCTATTCCATGCCATTATTTTGGCATGAAATGTGATGTGCCAGACTCCTGTGGACTTCTTGCTATTGTAAAGGGTGACCCAAGTAGAAAAAAAAAATTAAAAACTTTTTATCCTGCTTTAATTAAATTAAATTCAGAAAATGCCCTCATTTTACCTGATTTCCCAGCTCTCATGCCAGCGGACAGACCTTTGTCACTTCTCCAGAAGGGAGATCCAAAGCTCTGATTATTAGCTAAAGACAGAGCCATTCTTAGTGGGCATAATCTGAATTCATAATTTGGATGAATTCATGATTTGAAGTAACCACAGAGGTCTAACTTCAAGATTTGAACCTTTTCAGAGCCAACGGGGATAAAGTTCAGCATTTTTAATTGGATTCTACTGTGACTATCACTGTCATAAAGGAAGTAAAGAAACAGAAAAATCCCTGCCATAGGATGTCCAAGAAGGAACCCAGAGAGTTTAGGACATGCATTTAGGTATTTTTTCCCTCATAACACACTTTCAATTATAAACCAAAACCAGCAATTCTTACCTTTTGCCTAGAAACCATCCAAGATTTTATTGTTGGTACCAACAGACTGCCAAGTAGAATCTGAGCAGGATGATAGATGAGTAAGGGGACAGAAATTAAGGACAGGTGCTCATAACCCGCAAATACTATCTTCAGCATTGGAATCCCTGCAGGCAGAAAAACAGGAGACAGACTCTCACCTGAGACTTTGAGCTCCAGATAAAGCAAAGCATTTCATGTTGCATTGATATTTCATCAAAAAAAAACCAAACCAAACCAAAACCCAAAAGAAATAAAATGAAGATTAAGTAGTTTTATATTAAAAAAAACAACTCTAAAAAACCAGCAAGAACATGAACAACAACAAAAATGCACGTCAGAGAAAGTTCTGTGGCAAAAAGGAAGGAGTAGGGGAATGCCATAAAAGACCTTTTCTTGATACACTAATAGCTGTCTTTGAAGACTTGATATAAGATACATTCTGCTATAGCACGACTCTTCAGTTGCTGGGGATAGTTCTGTCCTGCTTATTTACTACTACTTCTCACTGTGCTCTCTTTCATGTTTTCATGATTTTCCTCCATCTAACCTGCCTGACTCCGGCTTGTAACCTTTCTTCAGTCCGTTTACCACTGGAGGAGGGTGGTGTTTTCCTGGTGTGCTCCCTGACAGTTGGTGAGTACCCAAATGACAGTCTTCCCTGCTTTGACTGATACATGCAGTCAAGGTATAGAGTCAAGTACTCTGCAAGTGCTCGTGTTAGAGAACAAAACTCTCTGCTCTACCTGTATGTTTCAGAAGAGATACAGCATGAAAGAGAAAAGGTTTAGTGAACTGAGTAAGCAGTATGAAGTGGTCATGCCTATGAAGAGTTTGGAAGCATCTGGAGTACAGAATTTGTTAGATGCTAGAAGTAGTGAGCATTAAGAGCTAGAAATGGGCTATTTTTCCTAAGAGCTTGAATTTGCACTCAACAGTGCTAATTCTATTAGCCATAATCTCCTCGCTTGATGATGTGATATGTAAAACTAAATCTGATTTAGTTTGGCAGTAATGAAACCGATTATATTTACTTTGAATGTGTTATTCTTCAAAATTACCTGTTTAAATCTTGGAACTTTGCTACCATGATCCACAAAGCATAGGTGTGGGCAAAACCATCTCTGTCTTGCTTGACCAGACATTTGCATTGTGGTGGTGGTTTGGTGGATTCACCCTTTTGCTTGCAGCTTGCAGCCAAACACAGCCTGCTCTATCACCCTCCCGCCCCCCCTCACCCAGGGAGTAGGGGAGAGAATTTGGAAAGAAGGGCAAGGACTCACGGGTTGAGATAAAAACTATTTACTAATTAAAAGAAAATGATAATGATAACAACAGTGATAACAGACTATACAAATGAGTGATACACAGTGCTCACCGCCCACTGACCAATTCCCAGCCTGTGCCAGCTAACGATCCCGGAGCCGAGACGGTCCCGAACCGAAACCCCGGAAGAGTGAGCCTGAGCGATCCCCGAGAGAATGTGCCCCGTCTTCCGGTCAACCCTGGTTAATATACTGACATGACGTGATATGATATGGAGTATTTCATTGGCACAACCAGATGCCAGTTTTGGGTTTTGCTCCTCACTGCGCTTACCCCTCACAGTCCTAATGCAGCTGTGAAACAGACAAACAGCGTGGCCTTGAGCTGCAGTAACTAAAAACATTGGTATTTTATCAACGTTCTTCTCATGATAAGTCTGAACTGAAACACTGAAAGTAAAATACTACTCTTCTAATTACTAAAAATTAACTCTATCCTAGCAAAACCAGGACAATTGTTGCTAACAAGAGCAGCTGAGATTCCTCAGGAGCCTCCTGAGAATTTTCTCCCTCATCTTCAATATCATTCTAGGAAACTTCTGCCAGCATCAGCCTTGCAGAGGACAAGGCAGATGCTGGCGGAGACACAGAGCTCATCTGTGTGTCTCCTTTCTTTGCAATGACAAAAAGCTGAGCTTTGTGCCACATGCCCTCCATTCCCCCATTAGTAGATGCTTCAGATCAGCCAAAGTTACCATATTTAGATAAACTTTTCTCTATGTCTCAGATAAATTCCCATTCTCAATCCCCTTTCAAGTTTCCCTTAATAAAAATTGCCTCCTCCCTACATGAGGAAACAGTTCACTTGTTGAATGTTGCTGCTCTGCAGTGCCCCATTATTGCTAACACATCTAGGTTTGCTGAAATCTTCATGTTTCCACAGCATCATTTTTTTAATTATTTTTTATTAGCTTCATCACATTACAGCACTAACAATCTCGTCCCCATAACAGTAGCCTTTACTTATGTGGATATTTCCAGGGAAATATTAAATCAAAAAAATAAAAGCTTGTGTGTTTTATTTCAATATTATAATTACCTTCAAAACAACATTACGGATCTATCACACAATAGGGCTGCTTATTATTAACACTAATTTGGGGGGCTTGGGAATAAATAGTATTTGGATAGAAATTAATTGGGCATTTGAGTTAGATTAAGGAGTGTAATTTACTTCAACTGCCCGTAATACTGTTTTTGTAAACAGATACAGGTTTTACTACCTGTTACCAAGTCTCAACTTGGCCCCTGTGGGTCCTTTTCTGTTCTCTAACAAACCAGAGTCCCAAGCTATGAAGATGCTATATTTATGTTTGTAAGACAGTACCTGGAATTTTGGTAGTGCAATGTCACCCACAGATCCAAAAGCACTTTAGTAAGCTGAACAGGACTCCTACAGAGAATCAGAGAGCACTAAAATGACTAGCCTAAGATCACACAGAAAACTAAAGGCAGAGACGTGAACAGAATGGATCCAAAGTGACTGAGATATGCTTTAAATTACTGTACATTTTCTGAAAGAAAAGATAAGAAATTCCAGCCTAAAAGGTAAATTCTCTAGAGGAAAGCTATTTCAGTAAACTAGGAAAAGAAAATTAAAGTTGTCAAATATAAATACAAAATACTATAATTAGTGTGACAATATAATTAGATCACTGGGTGGAAAGAGGTTCTTAATTCACAGCTTGTTTAAATACATGTCACAACAATAGGTTCCTGTAAGCTACTAATGTGCAATTAAAGTTCCTGTTATTTACCAGGAAAAACTAACTGGTGAAAAGAAGAAATAATCATCTTTTTTGCAGGTAAGCATTAGTTCAATGGAAAGAAAAGCCCTGTTGCCATTTTATGCACTTTCTGATTTTTAGAATTCCAACTTTGCCAGTATGCAACTCTCTCAGAAAACATTTCGTGTCAGAGATCCACAGACTACAGTCACAAATGCTTGTATCACTAATATTACCACAAAGCTAAACAAAACAGCAAGGGGGATTTTTATTATTTTTAAAATGTTGCCTAAACTTTTTTGTAGCAATATATAGTAACTGCAAGCATTAGTATGACTGATGTTTTCCAAATACATAAAACTCAAGCAAATTCCTAATTATGAAAAACTTATTTTAATAATTACTTTCCCCTCTCCTAAAATAACAAAAAAAACCCCAAATCCCAGGGTTTTTTTAGTATATAAAACACTTGGAAAATAAACCCCAAACAAAATGAAAACCAAATCCTAGCCAAAGGAAGAAAAGTGACATCATCATGCCTGGGCTGATGCTGTATGCTGAATTTGTAATGCATTTTCAAGATGAGATTATGAACTAGAACTAAGAGAAGCTGTAACAGAAACATTGACTGAAATAGTAGTGACATGAACAGGCTATAACAAAGCTAATAGAGTAAGACGAGTTTAAAACTTTCAGCTAGAGAACAAGGAATGAAGGTGCTAAGCAAAATGGACATAGTTTTCTTTATTTTGGGCTGCCCACTCCTCTTTTCGTCACCTTTTATAGCATATTACTTCCTGTGCTATACTAAGATAAATAAAACTTTGCACAGGATCAAACTGCATATATTAAAACCTAGACCACTACCTTAGTCTTAAGTTCCCCCAAAGTACACAGCAGCTCCTCCCTGCCCCGACTCCCCAGTAGGACTAGGGTATTTATTTTCCATCTGGAGCACTAAGGCTGCATTCACACGTATAAAGAATAATGCCTGTAAGGATTTTCTGTATTGATTTCAGTGAGCCATTAATCATGCTTATCTGCATTTCAGGGTAATTGGACTGACTTCTATGGGTCTACATCTTGATTGACACTGGAGGAGGAACACTGGCACTATCAGTTTATAGACAATCTTTTTGTTACGTTTTAAGCCTGCTGTCACAGTCTGAGGGCTCATGCCACAAACACCCATTCACATTGTTGCAGTTTATGAAGTTACAGGCTTCCAGCAGCTTGGTTCAACTCCTCTGCCAAAGACCCTCACTCACTGCATCTCATGAGAACTGCATGACAAAGTGCTCCTCTGTGGTTTGGTGACAACTTGGGTAGCTTTGCTCAAAGTAGAGGTGTAACAAGCTGTTGAGTTGCCAAAACCTTTTAAACAGCTTTTTTGCATGAATATGTGTCCAACTCCTGGATCAGAGCTGACCAAACACTGGGAGAGGTGCAAGTCAGGGTTATATCCCATCCTTCTCCAAAGAAAATTTGGTACCCAGCTGGGTAAGAAAAGAGCACGTCACCTCACCAGGACTAGAGTGAGCTGTAGCAGAAGGGAGGTAGCATTAGATCATTCCACAGATATCCCTCACACACAAGATCATTGGTATTCCCAGCTTTTTACCCTGAATTTCCCTCTTCTCCTTTGTTTGGCTATGTTTCTCCTACCAGTGCTCCCTCATATTCCCATCTTCCTCTTTGCTCTTTGGCTCCGGTATTCAGAGGCTCTTTTTCTCCCTTCCTCCTCTTTCCTCCTCTTCTCCACTTCCATACTTCTAGCCTGCTTGGCTTCACTTCCTAAGACCTTTGATTCTGCTCACTTGCAGCACTGTAAGCGTTGGGTACTTCCACTGAAATCACTAAGCTCCACTAAGTGCAGTGGGCACTAAAATCACAGTCCCACTGCAACTAAGAGGAGTTAGGCCTGTGATAGGGAGTACATTTCATTTTTCTCCTTGTTTGTGTCCTCACTCAGCCCATTTCACATGAGAACTTTGCAAACCTGAGGAAAAGCTAGCAAGGGAAAAGCTGTTTATCCACGACCTTCAGCAAGGAAGAGTGAGAAGACTGCTCTTACAG